ACATTGAATTAGGACCCATCCTAATGGCCTAATCTTGATTACATTTTCAAAAACTCTATTTTCAAATGAGGTCACGTTTACTGATACTGGGGTTGCAGTTTAAAACTTAAACATACCTTTCTGAAGGATATCTTCCCACTATCGTTAGGGTGAGATAGTTGCTGTTGAACTGACGTAGCTATAGGAATTGATTGGAGAGCTGGGTGGATAAGATAAGGTCTGAAGGGATGCAGGGAAAGTCTGGTGCTAGGCTGAGCACAGAGCCCACTGATAGGGATATCTAGCAGGTGGCAAATATTAACAAGGTAGATGGGCAGGATGGTCATCATCCTTGATCGCCACTGTCTGATAGAAGTATAAACTGAGTCACATTTGTAGTTTCAAAATTTCCAGTAGTCGTAGCAAAAAAAGTAAAAAAAAATGGGGAAATTAACTGTAATGCTATATTATATTTAACCTAATCTATCCCAAATATTATCATTTCAATGTCATTAGTATAAATATATTAAGATATTTTCCCTTTTTCCCCATACCAAGTCTTCAAAATCCAATATACATTTGATACTTGCGGCACATCACTAGCGAAATCACTATTTTCGAGAGCACCATGGCCACATGTATTAGACTGCTCTAGACTCTAGAAGTACTTCCCCTCGGTAGTAGGATCCAAGGCATGGGCTGGGATGCCTGGAGATTCAGTTCTGGGAAGAACACAGGCAGAAGTGAGGTGGATGATCAGGGATTTGGGGGAAGAGCTTAGAACAGGCCTGAAGAGGGAAAGGTGTTCCAAGGAGAGACAAAGTGAATGCAAGGGACGGGAATTCACTTAAATTTGCCTAAGTAAGGGGTGAGGGTGGTTAGATGGCTCTTCTGTGCAGTGAGATCCCTTGGAAATGAGTGGTAAGAAAGCACACCTGGGCCAGGAGTATGGGCAGGAAATCTGTCAGACAATCACTCTCTCTGTCACCCTCTTTAAGGTTATGAAGCCTCTTATCTCCACTTCTCTCTGTCTGTTTTTTAGTATCTTTCTACACACTCATTTCCTCTTTTGTTTATCTACTCGAACCTTAAAATGGCTTCTTCAGATGCTAACTCCGTGACCTCTCAACCCGGCTGCCCACTGCTAACTCAGTGTCACAGTGTCCCCATTTCATGTTGCAAGGAAAGAAAATGTGATTGGCCTCTTGGTCAGCCATCCATCTTTGGCTCAGTTAGCTGAGGCAAAGCTCATCTACTTACAAACAGGGCCACCCAGGTTCACCCCTAGGGTAAGGCAGTGGTTCTCAAAATGGGTTCTCTCCATCAGCAGCATTAGAAATGCAAATTCACAGGCCCCACTGCAACCTGTTGAATCAGTATCTGTGGGGATGGAGCCTAGGACATTGTGTTAGAGAAGTGGGCCAGGGTAGATACCTTCAGAAGGGGATGTCGATAAGGACTACCATCTTAGTAAACCAAAGTAGAGGCTGAGAAGGCAAGAGCCAAGTAGTGTGGCATGAGGGAGCCCAGACCTGGAGAGACACAGGTCTTGGATGTGACCTCAGCTTCCATCACTGGAGACCAGACCTGCTGGGAGGAGGTCAGGGAAGGGGCCACAGAGAATAGCCTGGAATGTGACCTAATCCTAAACCATGTTGGAACAGGACTGCACACGAGGGTTTTTAGTTAACATAACTGAGGACCTAGGACAGGCAGAAGAAATCAGTGGAAGGTGGAGAGGAAGCATCTGGTTGACAACTGCAAGTACATGGGGGCTGTGCCTGGCTGCCTCATCAGTTACGAGCTGATTTGGAGGAAGCTGGAACTAAATATTAAATTCAATTCATGATATTTTAAACATTAAAGAAAGTTGAATTTTCAGCAGGGGTAGAAATTGCTGAGTGCCTGATGTGCGCTTTTTCTGTGGCATATAAACTGTATTAAATTTGAAATTCATACTACAAAAATAGCTTCACAGGAGTACCATTATTAACATAACCTTACCTCAGACAGATTTTTTATTACTGGAGACAACTCTTCTATGTAAAAAATATATTAATGGCTGGAGCAGAAGAAAAATACCAACTACAGATGGTAAGCATTTGCTTGCAAAGTCACGTCAAATTTAACATTAGCCTTGGAAAACAGAAACACGTTTTAAACAAAAGGTTTTAAATATTCTTATAGCCTAGTGTTGATTTTTACCTCTGGTCTAGGATGCCATCATAAAAAGTGCAACATTAAGTGATTAAAATACATTAATGAAAAAGTTGAAAACTTTTGCTCAAAAATGCTGTTTAATGAGTTGTTACAGCATTTTCACTGGAAGGCTCTATTTCATGGCATCCATGGAAAAAGACATTTTATCGGTATGAAATAGGTGGAGTTTGTAATCTTGAAACAGATGCCTAAACCAATGATTTGATAAAGATGCACAATTCAGTCAAGAGCAAATTAGGAAAAAAAAGGAATAAAAAGGCTTTGAAAAGATTTTCTGCAATTCCCATACCTGTTAGTGACATGTGTAGGTACAATTTACATTGCAAGTGGATTTTTATTTTAGGAACAAAGAAAAGGGTGAATTCCTTAAGACTTGTTATTTCTTCTTTTTTCCTCAAAAATATGAATAAAATTGTTACGATGAAGCCAACGCTATTACGCATCTAATGCTAAAATTTAAGTGGAAGTTTAGCTTCCCTTAACAGTATGAATGGTTTTGAAGTATTAATCTTATCTGAATCTTTTGTTTTAAACAATAAGATTAAAAAAATTATTTATTTTTAGAGAAGTGAAGGGAGGGAGATAGGGAGAGAAATATCAATGTGTGGTTGCCTCTTGCATAACCCCCTACTGGGCACCTGGCCTGCAACGCAGGCATGTGCCCTCACTGGGGATTGAACCAGCAAGACTTGTGTTCGCGGGCCAGCTCTCAATCCACTGAGCCACATTAGACAGGGCTAACTAGTAAGATTTATACTTACACATAGGCAAGCCTAAACAGAGTCTTTCCAGCATACTAAGCATGTGTGCATTTTTCTGCAGTGTCTCTTATAGTTGAATGTACTGCTGTAATGTTCACAATAGTCACCCCAGGTCTCCCATCACGGTTTGAAATTCTAACTTCTACTAACTAATAAAAGGCTACAAATTATTAGACGGTGGTTGGGAACCAAGTGTTTGCTGTAAGAATAAGGCAAAAGTGTATGTATATATCAGTTTGCTAACTTTTATTGCCATTATCCCTGCAGTCTCTTAAACTGTGAATAGTGGCTATTATTCAAATTGATTAGTTTATCTCCAGAGCTTCTGTAATGAAAGAAGCATTTTAAAAGGATTTCTTTAAAAAAAAGATTTTATTTATTTATTCTTAGACAGAGGAGGAGGGAGGGAGAAAGAAAGGGAGAGAAACATCAATGTGTGGTTGTCTCTCACACACCCCACACTGGGGACCTGACCCGCAACCCAGGCATGTGCCCCAACTGGGAATTGAACTGGCGACCCTTCGGTTCGCAGGCCGGTGCTCCAATGAGCCATACCAGCCAGTAAAAGGATCTCGTTTACTCTTTGGCACATAGTAGGCACTTATTATTTATTGAATGAATTTCTAGTCTGACTTCTAGAACTTTATATAATTTTTGGATCACTTTAATTGCAGGGTTGTACTAAGACTAATGAGATGCTTTTGAAGTAATTTCATCTGGAGAATGAATTGACATCATTGATAAATTCAAAACAACTGACTGATTTAGGAGTAAAATCTATTAGACTTTATTAAACATTTAAAAGTGCATTAATGTCATACCAGCCTTAAACAAGACACACATTGCTGTTATCCTTAGTTTTCACTGTGCTGGATACTTTTGCATGCATACATACAAATTTTATTCTTTTAAAACTTTGATTATTTGTAAAATTCTGTATTACATGATCTTCACAATTGCCATATAAATGGCTGCACAAAACCCCATGCGGCTGATGTAATATAATTCACCTAGCTGTTTGCTCAGTCCCCCTTTGTTATTAACCAAACTTTGCAAAGAACGTCTTCTGTGTTATTATTTGTCAAGGATAAATTTCTAAGTGTGCTATTACAGAGTCAAAGGGTAAGGTACACTTATTTTTATTTTGTCCTTTTGTATGAAAAGCTTTTCACACATTTGTCTTCAAGGTTTATCTTGTTAATAATCCTTTAAGGCTGTGTTATTATGCCCTTATCCTAGCGCTATGGCTGGAAAAAGAGCCAGAGCAGGAAGGTAAGCTGATCTCATTTACCAGGTGAGCCGTGGATGGAGGTGGCAGCTACTATACCAGGAGCAAAACACCCGTGGGGATTTGCTGGAATCCTTGGTATGGAAATAGTGTCTCTTCCCTCAGCGATGTGACGCTCCATTCCCAGAGGGCCGCGTTTCCAACTTTGTTGGCCCCACCTTTCAGAGAGCCCTGTACACAGTAAGCGATTAATAAATGCAGTCTGCGTTGCAAAGACAAAGCCCTCTAAGATCCTCCTGGTTCCAGAGAGCTCTGCACCGCCACTTTGTTCCTTTGATCACCCCCCCTTAAGCTCGGCGTGGAACCCTCTGCAGGCCGCGGGCGCCTAGGCGGAGCCGGGCCTCGCGCCCTCGCGCCCTCGCGCCCCCGCGCCCTCGCGCCCCGGGCACCCAGCGCGCGCCCGCCCAGGCCCCGCCCAGGCCCCGCCCGGCAGGCCCCCGCCCCCCGGCCCGCCCCACCTCCGTCTCCTCCCCGCCCCCCGCAGCAGAAGAGTGGCCGCGGCGGCCGCAGGACCCGGTTCGCTCAGACAAGAGGGCGGGTGGAGGAGGAAGCGGCCGATCCTCAAGTCTGCCCCGGCGCAGCCGAGTACCGCCCGCCTCAGCCGACCGGCCCCGTCGGCTCCCGGGCCCCGCCACGCTGAAAGGAGGGAAAGGCGGAGGTGGTTGCGTGGAGGCGGCGGGGGCGCGGGCGGAGGCGGCGCGGCCGGCCGCGGCTGCCGCTTTGTTGTGCGGCCCGGGCCGAGGAAGGAGAAGTGGGAGGAGGGGGGAGCTCGGCGTCCCGCTCCCTCCGCGGCTCATGGCGACGACGCTCGGCACATCCGGGACCCTCCGGCCGTGGCGGCCGCGGCGCCGGCTGCTCGGGCCGCAACCCCGGCCGCTGTGGTGACTCCGCCGCGCCTCACCGTCGCCCCCGCTCCGCTCGCCGCCCGCCGGCCCTGGGCCCCGCGCCGACGGCCGCAGTCCGGCCGCCCCCGCCGCTGGGGACATGTCTAATCCCGGGGGCCGGAGGAACGGGCCCGTCAAGCTTCGCCTGACAGGTGAGAGGGTAAGGGGGCGGGCGGGCGATGGGACTTGGTTGGGGCAGACGCGGGGTGGGCGAGCCGGCAGGGGGTGCCTATGGCCTTGGGAAGGGCCAGGGTCGCGATCAATGGTGAGTTGGGGGTCGGGGGACGTGGGAGGGCCTAGTTCAGGGAAGAGTCATGGCAAAACCACTCGCTCTTGTTTGGAAATTCTTGAAAAAGCCAAGGGTGACTCGGGGGTCTTTTGTTGAGGGGAGGGGGACCCCGGTTGGAATTTCAGGCAGATTTGAGGTCGAAAAGCCTCGGCCGAGGAACACGACTCTCTCCCGGGGCCTCGGGGAGCAGCCCCTGGGCTCCTGCCCAGGTGGGGACGTTGAGAGGATGAGGAGCTCCTGTGCGGGGATTATTGAATCCGGTGGCTGACTGCGCGCAGTAAACACTCCTTAAAGATGGAGCGCTTAACGGGAGGGTGGGTGTGTGTGTGTGTGTGTGTGTGTGTTCCCTGGTTGTTAACTTGTTGGCCCTCTTGTGCCCGCGTGCAAAAATCTTCACTCTCTGCTGCCAGCCACAGCAGCCGGTGCCACACACCTGAAACGCACGTCCTTGGGAGGGAAGGAGACTGAGGTTGACTTTTCCGGTGTGTCTGCCTGATCCGACGACTCCGGCTCATTGTACACTCTGTGTTTTGGAAGTGTTTGATTGCAGGGTAGCATGTTTTGGGTTGTTCCTTGTAGGCCGCAGAACTTATGTCTCACTTCTAACTCTAGACCGGCTTTACAAACACATTTTTTTGGGGGGGTGCATTTCTGAGTATGTGCTCATGCAAACTTTCAAGCGAAGTTTTCGCTCTCTCCTCAACCTCCTCCCCTTCCCTTTTCTAAATGGAAAAGAATGTCTGGAGGGGTTGCTAGATAGAATGCTTCCCTTACAAAGTGTTTATGAGTCTCAGTGCATTGAATCTTTAACATTACAGGCCCATTTTGCTTGCAGTGCCTTTTTTGGTCGTCTTACACGGTCGCGTTACCCCATTTTAACGAAAAATTATGTTTGGTTTGAAAAGTATAAATGAAATCAGCGTAGTTATCCTCCTTTTGCCATTTGCAGTTGATATAATATCCACGTTGATATTCGGATGTGTGGTGAGAAAGATGCTTTTCCTTAATCTGTGTATGTGTGTGGGTGCATGTGTAAGAATAAACTATAATTATGTTTGCGTACACTAGACTTTGAGATTTACACGGACTAATTTTTCTAATTGAATGCTTGTGTGTCATATCCCAGTACACTGGGTGAACTTTTGCGATACAAACTTGCAGTGAATTTGGTATTTGAGAATTTAGACGATGTTGGCAGCAACTTAAAAAATGCATTACTTTCATGACAGTTTTACTTTCCCTAGGGAAAATTGCAAAGAATCGTTAACTGAGTGTTTCTTAATGGAAAATCTGGATTGGGGAATGCCTGTCTCCCCTGTTTCCCCCATTCAGTTTCCTTATTATGAATCAATGGAAACCTTCATAAGGGACCTTTGTTGCTCTAGTTTATCTACTACTGTTCCTCTCCTGAGTCAGCCCTGTGTCAGTGATTATGAAAGGAACCTGTGATTCCAGGTGTGCCAAAAGCATCAGAACACGTTACTTCCTTCCTTCTAGTCTCTCTCTCTCTCTATATATAAAATGAGGGAGAAAACAGGGATTTTGATTTTTCTGCAGATAAAATGAGTTTGAGGGTTTTTTGTGTGACTCAATAGATCTTAAAGTGTTTGTAGTTTCCTGACTGCATATGATGCATTATTAAAATTCATGAGTAAAATTAGGAGACAAGATTACTTTTGGGGAGGGGGCAGAGAGGAACCCTGGACTAAATTTATAGAGTGATTTTGTATTTTTAAATTTTTCTGAGGAATTTTAAATATACTGTGTCCCCCTTAATTGTAAAAACAGTTGAGGTACTCTCAGTTTCTTAAAACCATTGGGAATCTGCCTCTGTCATATTTTAAGAGAAAATATTCAAATATTAAAAACATTGCCCTTTCCCTTTTGGTTACACATGATGGATTTTCTTCTGTTTTGCCAGGAAAGTTAACATATATTTTTTCTTTTTTGTTCATTTACAAATTAGATGGTATATATTTTAACAAATAGATCTCAAGAGCTGGATTCAATTAGCAGCTTTTTAGGACATAAACATTAAAGGGTTAGATGGAAAAGATTGTTTTGACTGACTGGATAAATGACAGCGCTGTGTTTGATGTGCGTCCAGGAATTGGTCTGGAGCTGGTGCCCAACTTTTCAGTCCATCTTGAGAAGCCAAATAAAATATTTAACCTAGGCCTCGTTGTTTTTTTTTTTTTTTTTTTTTTAAAGTTGATTCTTTGTTAAGACCTTAAGAAATGTTTGGCATACCTTTAGACTAAGTGTTTAACAGTTCATTTAGATCCGGATTCCATAATAGAGGAAAATTGCTAAAAAAAAAGATAGATCCTACTGTGAGCTTTTATATGGTTTACAATACACTGGGGCTATCAGATGCTTTTAAAATTGTTGTTCTTTGCTTTATGTTAATATGATACCAGTATTTTAGATTTATAGAATGTTGTTGATTTCAAGGTGCTTTGTGAACTGTGCTTACCCTGTTACTGTATATCCTTAATGTAGAGGTGCCCCTTTACTGAAAGGTGTAAACAATTCTTGTGAAGAGACTCTCTTCTGACACTCTCTCTCTCTCTGAAGGAGGACAAATATCTGAGCTATGAGATCTTCATCCACAACAGATATTAGACTTTTCTATATATTCTTAAGACCACAATTAACTAGTGAACAGTTTGATACTTGATGCTAGCAAAGTAGGGCTAATTTAATTCCAAATTTGAGATTCCTCAGGCCATTAGTGGTTAAAATCTGATTGAGTCCTTCAGCTACTTCTGTTGTTCTTTATGACATATTAATATAGACTCTATGGTAAAGATACCAAGTTCAACAAGTGCTTCTAGAGCAAATTGATTATAAAATGTAAAGTTTGTATATATTACACTGAGGAATATCTGACATAGGCTTCTCTTTCATATTCTTTGTATTTGGTTATAGTAAAAAAATTGGGGATAATGTAAAAAAAATTTTTTATTTACTTCTGGGGGAGGGAGGGCAAGAGCGAGAACAAGAAAGAAACAACCATTATTTTGTTGTTCCAATCATTAATGCATTCATTTGTTGACTCTTCTGTGTCCGCTGACCAGGTATTGACCCCACAACCTTGGTGTATCAGGAGGATGCTCTAACCAGCTGGAGCTATCTGGCTAGGGTAGGGGGGTAATTTTTTTATATCATTATTGTTTTTGAGAATCAAAGGCTGGGAAAAGCAGTGTAATATAATTTCTAATATTTGAAATTCTTAGGTATAGAGAAATAACATTACTTCTCCAGACCTTTTTGTAATTTAAATGTTTTTGTATGCTGCTTCTCATATAATTAATTTATAAAAACCCTTAGTGGTAATGAGGTTAACCTTGTCTTGCTAATGGAAAATTAAAAATCTCACTTTAGATATGTTGGTGTTTTAGTATTGTTTTCCTGTATATTTTATTGATTTAAGGCTTTAAAAATTAGAACTTCATTATATTTCACAGGTTTCTAAGTAGGAATGTGCCTGTATACCGTAATGACTTACTCCTTATTATAGGGGTGTTAGTGACTTGAATGTCTCCAATTCATTTTATATCCTTAGTTTCTGAGGAGGAAGCCAATCTAGCTTAGCTTGTTTATTTTCTCTCTAAGTTATTCTAGTCTAACCTTTAAACGGGCAGTTGGACCTACTTAGGTACTTCACATCGTTTGGTTTTCATTGGTGAGTAAATGTGTTTGTGTGCGTTTTAATCATGGATTCTACTTCTCTCCTCTTGGTTGAATTGTAACTATTAAAACATACTAATACGCCATTTGTTTAGTATATAATTCAGCTATTTCACATATAACTCAATTTTCAAGGTAAATAAAGGAGTGTAGACCATTTTAATGAAGGAGTATTTTAGCCATTTTTAAAAGACTTTAAAGATTTCAAAGGCTTTTAAAGATGTAATGTATCCTAGTCCTTTCAGATAGACCATACCTAACAGAACTTATGTTTTATTTATGATTCGGTATCATTATTAGTGTAAATTATTTGTGCTCTTGTAATAGGTAGTATGAGGATATCGTCATGGTGTGTAGAGAGAACTGTTTGACCCTAGCTATTTGATGATATGTTGTGTAACACTATTCTTGACTGCTTTTTCTCTCTTTGCCCTCATTTTATTTACTGTTACTTTCTTTGTTCTAAGAATGCTGGACCCTTGAAATACTTGTATGCTCCTGCAATCAGCATTATGTGTTTCTGTATGACTGACATGTGTTGAATGCTTATTTAAAGTGCCAGATACTATGTTAAGTTTACATGTGTTACCAGATTTAATTCTCACAATACCTCCAAGACATAGAAACTTGAAGAGGTTAATTAAGTACATGTCAGAAGCTAAGTTGTCTATATGGAATGTCTGTCACAAACTTACAAGATTTTACGGGGAAACAAATACTTTCCATTTAGCTGGAATTACCCTTGCCATCCTTGCTCATCTTTTAAGGTTCAACTGCAGATTACCCTTACCCCAGAACTTTCCCTGACCACATTGTCCTTTCCTCTGTAACCCACTGAAGGGCATTTGTCATTTCTATCTGTAGACTCCGTGAAGGCAGAATCCTTGTTTCAGCATTGATTATGAGCTTTTTGGCATTTTATTTAACCAATGCTGGCAACACAGTAGTAGTTCAATGTAATTCCCTAAGTGGTCTTTACTGCTAATGCATTGGGTGTGAGTGGCAAGAGATGAGACAATAGATAGGGACAAACCAATTTAGGGCCCTGTTACTTTTATATGTTTTTGAAAATTTTATGTATTTATTTTTTAGAGAGAGGGATAGGGAGGAAGAAGGAGAGGGAAAGAAACATCTATGTGTGATTGGTTGCCTCTTGCACACCCTGAGCCC